GAAGTCGACTAATTAAAATCGTTGGTGTACCATCAACTGATTGATTACCGTTCGAAAGGCCATTCGTGGACGATTTCCGAAAGATAATCGATAGGTGTATGGGCACCTTTAGGTTGGGCAAAAATGTAAAGAAATACTTTGCTGGGCAATGTATATTTATATTAAAACCTATGTCCAAGGAAACCACAAAAGTGTTCTACAAAAAGGTTAAAATGCTTGTTTAGGTCTAGAAAATCAGGAAAAGCAGTTTTACTTACCTGATCCCGGCTCCCCCGGAAGTCAGTGCTCACCATATGCTCCAGCTAGAGAACTGTCCCTCGGTATCCTCACATATCATGCCATGTATTGTAGGGATGCACCGATACCGGTATTTTGTTATCAAATATGACTACCGATATTTTTTTTCCGGTACTCGCCTATACCGAATACCAAGTACTGGAAGTCCCATTCAGGAAGCCAGGCGGCGTGTAATGACTCGCCACCCAGCTTTCTGATTAGCAGGGAAGCCGTCCCCATGCTTCTTGTCGGGCACTGTGTAATTACGCGGCGCCCGGCTTCCTGATTGGCCGGGAAGCCGACTCCATGCTCCCTCGCCATGAGGTGATGAGGGAGCATGAAGCCGACCAACCAGAAAGCCGGGCGCCGTGTTCCTGATTGTCCGCGAAGCCGGCTCCATATTCTCTCATCACTCGTGAAGTATCGGGGTAGGCATCGGAGCATTTGGGCGAGTACGAGTACTCGCCCAAATACTCAGCATCGGCACCGATACTACTATCGGTATCGGTGCATCCCTAATGCATTGATGAAGTCAGTGTACCTCTGGCAAGCTGGCTTGTTGGCTGAAGGGAGCCAGCGGGAGTGGGGATTAGGTAAGTCAAATTTGTTTTTCCAGATACCCCAGACACTTACAGTACAGGGGGAGAAAGGGTAGTTCTCCACTGCAATGGTAGTTTTGTGTTTTTCCCTCGAGTTCAACATGAAAGTGTATGTCTAGCCAAAACTTTTTTTCTTAGTTTTAGATGGAGTGAGGAAGGATTAGAACCCCTGTTAGGTCTTTACTGCTATCCAGGGATTCAGTAAAGAGATTTCCCCTTATCTACACTTCTGGTGACAGTCAATTTCACTAGCCAGGAAGTGAGGGAAAATCGGCAACAGCAAAGCCATAAAAGTATTTTTATTATTTACTAGACTAGGGAACTCAAACCTCAGTCTGCTTTCTATTGCTGTCTGTGTTCCTTTTACAGATATCCTGTCACGTCCTGTCTGGTGAAACCGATCCACCAGGACAGATATTGAGGAACAATTTGCAAAAATCCAGCAATAAAATGTTTTTTATTATTTACTAGAGTAGGGAAAGACTAGAATCTCAGCCGGCCTTTCATTGCTGTCTGTCTCCCTGATACAGATTTCCTGTCACTTCCTGTCTAGTGAAAGCATGACAGGAAGTGAGGGAAAATCTCACTAACAGAGCCCCAGATAGCATTAAAACCCAGACTGGGTTCTGATTCCTCCCCACTCTATTCAAAACTAAAAAGAAAAGTTGTGCCTGGACATACACTTTAAACATGTTAGAGATCTGCATTTAGGGATTGTTCATACGATTTTCTGGTCCAGATCTGGAGAAGCGGTGCTATGCATGCAGTACGTGTTTGACGTGTATTTGACGCGTTAATATATATTTTTGGGTTGGAGTGGGGCTGTCAGTATGTTAGCTGCAGTGCAGTGCATTTTTGGCGCGTTTCGTTGCGTTTTTCGACCATTTCCGGACCGGACAAAGTGTGACATGGAGTATTTTTTCTGTCCGGACCGGAACGGACTGCGCTCATGAGAACTGTAGCCCATAAAACACATAGGAATACATTGGGATGCATTTTGGGTGCAGGAGCGCACGGATCTGGTCCGGACAGAATCCGAACGTTGTGTGAACAAGCCCTTAAAGTCCAAACAATGTTTCTGTTTAACTCTGTCATTCCCACCAGATCACTGTTGTTCTGTTCTCTAGGATCATTACTCCGCTAACCTGCAGTGGTGGGGTCATTGTGGTCCAAGAGAATTTGGTGGCATTTGTGATGGAAATTACAGGCACACAATGACCTGCCTGAACGTATGTGAAAAATCCCTTTATATCAAAAGACATTTGTGCGAAGCAGTCTATTCTCTGCAAGAGGCTGTATTCAACGCAACTCGCTTCAGCAATTAGGTCTGAAAGGGGGTGGATATGTGACCAATTTGTGCCCTTAGTAAACTCCCATCTTTAAATCAGTGTGAGTTCGTTCACAGGCAATACTCAATTATTCCTTCTCATTAGGAATGTGCACAGTAAATCACAATGACTGAATAACACATCTGAGTGTATGAGTCACATAGAACCCTGATATTGCTTAAACAGGAAGTACCAGTATATTGTTTTCAATGTTGTTTTAGATATACACTATGAGGCTGATTTACTAAAGACTAGTTCACGTCAACCCCATTGGGCAGCATTCCCCAATGGTGTCCCAATGTAAAGACAAGGCAAAACACCTTGCTCTGTATAGGGCCTGTTCACGCTAAGGCACTGCGTTGTGATAAAATGAAGCATCACCATTTTATCGCAGCACATTACAACAACAATGCAGTGCATTACAACACACTGCAGCACTGTATAGCGCCTGCTGCAGTGTGTTGTAATGCACTACATTGTTGTTATAATGTGCTGCGATAAAATGGTGATGCGTCATTTTATCAAAACGCAGTGCCTTTGTGTGAACAGGCCCTATACAGAGCAATGCATTATACCAATGCATCTCAGTGCACCTTCACACCGCATGGCAGCACACACATGTTACGTGCTATGTATTGTAATTTAGTGTAACGTAAACCAGCCTTTAAAGTAGTATTAAGTTCTCTATCTTTTTTCAATAATGAACTCAGATCAAACAAATACACATTGCCCAGCAAAGTTTTTCTTTACATTTTAGCCCAAACACTTACAGTCATCATGTTTCCAAACAGCTCCACCTCTCTTAGCTCCACTTCTCTGAACTTCCTGCCCAGTACAAGATCACAAGGGACAGAGCAGTCTGCAGCCATTGTACATCTACTAGCTTAGAGAAAGGAGGAGGGGATGGGGGGAGCTTACTAAAGTCCATGAACCCATCACACTCGAAACCACCGTTCCCAAGTGATGAAGGTGGGTTCTGCGGCTGTCGATGGCTGGCCACTGTGATATTTAGCTAGAATATATATATAGTAGAATATAGAGAGACACCGGCACTCCAAATAGTGAATCAAATAGTCTGTTTATTGACGTACGAGCAGCATAGCGTGAGGCACTCAATGCGACATTTTGGGGTCTCACAGGATCCCCTTCATCAGGCAGAACAAGGACATAGCATACTAGCACACACAAGGGTGGCTCCATAGGATCCTGCAAGTTAAAGGAGGCATCCTAAAACAGGATATCACGGCCAGTGCTCAGGGTACCAGCTGATTCTACAGGAACTAAAACATTTAAATATTAGGGAGCAGCATCCATTGTGAGTGATTTTATCAGCATTTACAATAGCTTAAAACCCTTTTGACTTTAAATTGATGTTAAACCTTTTTATTTTTCCTCTAGCTGGTCCCCAAACCACTGTCCCCGCACGCCTGTATGTCGGTGTTTCCTCAGCAGTTGGCTAACTTGCATGCACGTTCCTGGCTGTGATCCACGCTTAGCTGTGCAGGTCCATAGACACACACTGTATGCAGCAAGCCACACCCCTGCTCTCTTCACAGGTCTCCTCCCAACAGTGTGACTGATGGCAGCAAAAGCCTATCACTCCTCTGCCCTCAGTACTCTACTCCACAACCAGGAAATTCAGGGAACACCATGAGAGTCATTTATCAAAACTTAACCGCACAAACTGTAGAGAGAATCTGATTGGTTACTATGTGCAACTGCTCCAGATTCTGTCTGCTCCAGTTTTAATTTAGATGTATGTGTGGTGAAACGTGCGCTCCTTTGCGTCTTGACATCCGTTTTGAAAGTAAAAGTATCTTGCTGCACTCCTTACCGCATTGTATGGGGACTTTTGTTAGGTGTTGCTCCAGTTTCAGACAGCCGCAGAACAAGTGCAGACGTAAACAGTTGCGAATCCAAAACAGGTGCATAACACACGCAATCGGAAAAGTAGTGCAAGCTCTGGTCAAAACAGGCGCACACGTTCAAAGACAGATTTGCACATAAAAAAATGATCTAAGAGGCTAAAACTGTCGCAATTGCTTTGATAAATCCCCCCGAATGTGTTTTTGAATGTACAATTCAGAGTGGATAGGGTTAACATTTGACCAAGGCTTGTTTTTACCTGTTGCAAAGCATCAAATCACATTATATGCATTTAGATATCCTGCCATGGACTCCTATGGTAGGGTGACCATTCATCCCCAATTTCCGGGGACAGTCCCCGGATTGAGGAGACCGTCCCCAGACAAATTATGGTACAGTAGAAAGGCATCATGGCACACTCACAAACCAGCATGTAAAACAACTTGTCTCACCACTAAGGACAATGACAGAGGTTTGGATACACGTCTTCTGCAAAGGATGTGTAAGCCGCACTGCCGCGCCAAGGCACCTCTTATAGTGCGGTCCTAACTCTAAACTATGAGAGTCTCCATCTTGGAGCACATGGGGGCAGAAGATATCAAATTGGGTGCAGGCCTGTCAGGAGGACGCCCCACCTCCTTAAAGGTACAGAGACACACAAGGGATCCCGCACATCCCATTGGCAGCTGAGAAACCCCATGCGTCGCTGCACCAAATCGGTAAAGCAAAACAAACGACAAACGCACTCAACAATTTGTTACCAGTTATACAGTAAGGTGCACACGAAATGGGCTTTGAACAGTGGTACAGTAGAAAGGCATCATGGCACACTCACAAACCAGCATGTAAAACAACTTGTCTCACCACTAAGGACAATGACAGAGGTTTGGATACACGTCTTCTGCAAAGGATGTGTAAGCCGCACTGCCGCGCCAAGGCACCTCTTATAGTGCGGTCCTAACTCTAAACTATGAGAGTCTCCATCTTGGAGCACATGGGGGCAGAAGATATCAAATTGGGTGCAGGCCTGTCAGGAGGACGCCCCACCTCCTTAAAGGTACAGAGACACACAAGGGATCCCGCACATCCCATTGGCAGCTGAGAAACCCCATGCGTCGCTGCACCAAATCGGTAAAGCAAAACAAACGACAAACGCACTCAACAATTTGTTACCAGTTATACAGTAAGGTGCACACGAAATGGGCTTTGAACAGT